GTTTGATGTTACGTACATTATTAACATTACAGAATCCACATATTCCTGCCAGTTTTAATATCTATTTTGTAATCAACAAGTGTGTAACCCCGGTCAAAGTTTGACACTTCTCTGGCCATTATCTCCGTAACCGTTCAACTTTGGACATAGGTGTTTTGGGTTATATCGGCATACTTTAACATAAGGAACACCCTCCCGAAGTTTGGCACATTCCTCCTGGGACACCCTGTATATACATCAAGCAGATAATAACAAAAGAGGTATGTACATCAAATTTTATTTTTAACATGTTAATCTGCAGACTCTGCAATAAAAGTACTGGCTCGTGGATGAGTTTGGGCATAACTCATACATATATTCATTTTGCTTTTCTTACCTTAGGTATCATTTTAATTCCTCTATTATGGTTTTACTCAAGTCTGTCTGGTAATTACTACATTTAAAAATAAATATTTAGGACTGTGCATGCACTTCCACTAGCAGAGTTTAAATGCCTGACTGGCCAAAATGGGGTACTTTGGCCACCACGACCATACTCTTCATTGGCCCAATCGGGGCACTTCGGCTGTTAAAGGTTAAACAAATGTCGTCTGCCTGCCAGAAAGCCAATGGTAACTGTTTTCTGGGACAGGAAAGGAGTGCTGATGGTGGAATTCATGCATCAAAGGACCACAATAACATCAGAAATGTACTGCGAAACTGTACAAAACTGCATAGGGCCATTCAGAACAAAAGATGTGGAAAGTTGACATCTGCTGTAGTGTTCCTTCATGAGAATCCATATCCACATTCAGCTGCTTGCACTTGAGCATTTCAATTGAGAGCCGTCTGACCACCCTCTTTACAGCCCTGATGTCATTCTGAGCAACTACCACCTGTTCACCTACTTGAAGAACTGGTTGGCATCAGAGCATTTCAACAGTAATGAGGAGTTGATGGAATGTGTCAAAACATGGCTGAGCTCCCAGGTGGCAGACTTCTTTGACATACATATTTACTTACTCATGAAGCTGAGCCCTTCTTGAAGAGCTGCCAATTCTGCAGCTACTCAAGAATTTCCCAGCATGGAACCCGAAGGTTCATTACCAGGTTCACAAGAGCCCTCCACTGGTCCCTATCCTGATCTAGATCAATCCAATCCATCCCACCCAATCCTGTCTCTCTAAGATCCATTTTAATATTGTCCACCCACCCACGCCTAGGTCTTCCCAGTGGTAATTTTGCTTCTGACTTTCCCACCAATATCCTATATGCATTCCTCTTCACCCCCAATCGTGCTACATGCCCTGCCCA